ACTTTTCAGTTTATCGTAAATTTTAAATAGTTTTATTTCATGGTATGTTTAAACGCTTGATATTGAATTTTTACTCATATTCATAAAATTTATGACTCAATATGAAAAAATACCCCGAAATCCCGGGATCCCAATTTTCCTGATATTTTGGCATCCCTAATACATATGTATGTAAGCTCAAGGATATATACATACATATTGTTATTGGTTGAATAAAAGCTCAGTTAGTCTAGACTTAACTTAATTGAACTTACCGTAAGAAATCATCAATGATTGTTATGTGTTTTTGTATTTTCTTTTTCAGCTGTTTAACAGTTCGCTGGCTAAAATGCCATATCAAAACCGCTCTCAATTTCCATAAGGCCATAACTTAAGAACCTTAGGTTCTTAAGTTTCTTACGGTAAGTTAAGTTTTAAATAACCGCCAACACAGTTTATCATATAACAGGTTGGCCAAAACGTTAAGTTAAGTTAAGTTACGGAAATTAACTCTAGACTAACTGAGCTTTTATATTTTTTTTCTAACATGTCACGAGGTTTCCTATTGCGTTTGCGCAATTGTGGTCCTTTTATACCTCTTCCCTAGTCAAATGACCGATTCCGTTTTAATCCTGTATATAGTTATCAATTTACATATGTACAACTGAAAAATAAACACGGTTTAAGTCGGACATTCACACATACACACACACACTCAACACCGCTTCACCGAACCATAAGTCTGGCGAACTTTCTCACTCTAACGTAGTTACTTTCTTTTGGGTGTCATGCATGTGGTTAACATAGAGGTTTGATCGGCTTACAGAGATGTAGGTTTGATGGAGTTCGCACACACACACATACACACACACACACACAATTTAATATAAACGTGTCTGGCAAGCAGCTGGCGCTACAGGCTCGGACCCGCCGATGGTGCCTGCACCATGGAGCGTGTGCGTAAAAAGATAACTAATGCGGCTGGTTGCTAGGCCATGTTTCCGGCTAACGTGTGGCCCCGACGTGGTTAACATAGAGGTTTGATCGGCTTACAGCCATGTAGGTTTGATCGAGTTCACGCACACACACACACACAATTTAAAATAAGCCCTCTATTTAAGTACTTCCGAACTAGTTCGGCAATGCAAGTCTCGACTAAAATATGATGGTGAACACAACGAGGTTTTTTACTCTGGGTGCCAGGTCACTCTGGAGTACCTGGTTATGAGGCATCTGATCATTTGGCCAGAGTTGGATCAGACCAGGCATTGCTCGGTCCGCAACCAGTGTTAGCACTCCCACCTTCGGCAATCGAAGCCACGATCAGAAACTGGGTGAATACTTCGCTCAGAAATGACTGAGAGGCATCGAGCGGATGCAGGCGGGCAAAACTCATGTTGCCTTCAATCTCACAAGGTTAATCTAATTTTTTGCTCTCACTGAGCAGACGACACTGCAGACAACCTGCTAGACTGCTGACTGGTCACTACGCGAAACAAACACCTGACTGTGATAGGCGCAAATGACAAGTCCATTTGCCCATCTTGCCTTGAAGAACATGAGACGGTGGAACATATTTGTGGTTCTTGCTTGCTTGTTTATTTGCCATCAACTTTTTTAAACTCGTTATTACCTCTATTGTCAGTTTCTGAATTAAAAGTTTGGCGTAAAAAACTTAGCCGTTTTGATGTTTTAAGCTTTGTGTTTTAAAAATTTGACAAATATTTTTCGCCTCACTTTAAAACTCGGAGCGATAAAAATAAAAATGATGGCATTAACACAAATAAACTAATTTACATATTATTATTATTATTATTAGTACGTCGGGTATACTCGCGCTGCGACCTAAAAGATCTATTGTGCTAAACCCTGATTGTAGTCACTCCAACCTTATTTTGGCGGTTAGGGCTCGATTTGATGAGTTTATGGTGAAGATAATCTAAATAACGCTAGCGATCGCAGTGCTCGTAAAAAAAATAACCCTTCCGAGCGAGAGAGTATTTTGACGTATTTACGAGCCAGTTGCCACTGGTTATCTCAAAAAATATATTGCTAAACACACTGGCATTGAGGAAAATTGAGTAGTCCCCTTGCAAACAGTTTTATGTGATTTTATAACAGAAAGCCATAAATTTGAAAAAACGACTACGACAACAAGTAACATTTATATTGAATCTTTTTTATTATTACATGAAAATTTGGATAAATAAGAGCCTTATAAAATTGTAACTTAACATAACATGACTAAGATAACATTAATAGTCTATACGACCTAAAGCAGTTTTCTAAGTTCATCAGAAGAAGTATACTTTTGAAAGTTTATAAGTAAGTATGATACCGACTTTTGGAAGAAGAGTTAACATTTGATGCTATTTTTTTCAGAATATAAAAAGATTTTGCACTGTGTTGTTAGTGGACATGAAACTACTTTAAATACTGGTACGTTAACCACCAAAAACTAAAAATCTAAAAAAATTTACATAGCGCACTTTGCAAGTGGACTACTCAATTCTACCTTTTGTTACATACTTATCAAAAAAGGTGTTGATCCTAAAACTCTGAAGAGTGTGGACTTCATTTCAGTGTGGACGCAAATTTTTATTGGAAGGTATTACTACCCGAGCTGTGGCCTAATAAGGTGATTGTTATCCCTTTGAAGACTTTTTTATATTCATTGGCTTAATAAATAAATAAAAATAAATAAACCGTCTTTCCATACAAAATTAAGTAAGTATACGAGGTTTAGGTGGTTACGAAGCATTTACGCGTTTATATGAATCGCCCTAAATATAATTTGTAAGATTTGAAAACTTATTGTTAGTTTCGAAAGAAAGATTCAATAAATATATACATATTATAAAAAAAAATACTAAGTAGTCATGAAAAGTATCAATATTGTGTTCTCGGTACGTTCTATCACTACAGATGGATCATCACCATTTTCTTTATTTCTTTTTTTACATAACAACAATATTTATTGCCCTACCACGCCTATTTGAGCAGACCTTTAGTTTTTTTTTTTTACGGAGGAGGCTATCCATTACTTAGATGTTTAATTTGATTCCTATAAGTATAGTTTATATAAGACTCGACCACTCCAATAACCCATTCTTATTTGGGTTGGTAGTGGTGGTGCTACTTTTTTATAAAACCACTAAAAGCTTTTTTCATAAATATAAGAATTAACGGCTTTTAAGTGAATCAAAAATTTTATTAACTCTACTAACATAACATAACAATTGTTAAAGAAACTGTTGTGATAAGTTCTATCGTTTGTTGTTAGCTTATACATATATTATACAAAAGTTTTGTTTATTTTTCTCTCACCAAGTCAATTGGCTTGAAATGATTAAGAGCATTAACTGTCCAATCCGACTGAATATCACTAGTAAATTCTTTTTTGAAACGATAATTGCATACAAACACTTTGTCCTGGTATTCCGGCAGTGACCTGGAACAAAGACCATAAAAACAGATAAAAATTAAATATGATAAAAAACGAGTTTTGATTAGTTTTGTAACAAATGTTCTAAATAGTGATGTGAAAATTAAATAGAGCCACAAAGTGAAAACAAAAAAATAGTGAAAAGACAAGGAATAAGTAATAAAATTATAGTTTAACAAGTAAGAAAGTCTAAGTTCGGGCGGAGCCGAACATTAAATACCCGGCGCAAGTATTAAATATATGTTTTTTCACCCTTCCGAAACCTTCCGCTAGATGGTAAGCCGAGGTGTATCAATTTTGAGTAAATTAGCGTCCTTCAATTTCGAAATATTGAAGTTTCAAGCATTTCTTAAATTTACCGTTATATGAGAATCGGCCGTTATTTTAGTCCGATTTCAATAATTTTCAACGTTTTGCTTACACGTGGCAAGTACAATAACCATACCGAGTTTGGTACAAATTGGTAGAATGGTTACCGATATACTTATATGTGATCATAAGTGGGCGGTGCCACGCC